TTTTTTTTTTTTTCCAAATTCTGTCGATCACAGCCACCCCCCCCCCAAAAAAAAAATTGTTTTTTTTTATTTGTTTTTGTTTCGCGTGAGAACAGTCCAGAAATTCCGGATCGTATATGCTGTCCAGCACCACGGTGAGGGCTTTCTGTACGATAAGATAAGGCCACGCTTGTGGCTCAAATAGATAGATTCTTTGTATTATATATATCCTTTATTTATCTTTATTGTCTATGTCTCTTTTATGGATAATTCACGACTGAATTAATCTCTTTTACTCGGAATTAATCACCCCTTTCAAAATTATAAAATTTTATCCCGAACGTAAATCCGAATAAATTTCGTCGGAATTTATTTTTCTCGGGATGAATTTTTTTTTCTTCATTCGGAAATTCCTGAAAATTTTGCTTTCGTATTTTCTTGTAAAATACACTCGTGAATCAGTTTCGAATAAATTCAAATTAATTTACGCTCTATTCTTGTAAATAGGAATTGTCCCCCCCATCTCCACATGCCACCACGCCAAACCAAGAACTCCCAACGCACCGCCGCCGCTGCCCCCGCTGTTGCCGCCGCCACCGCTACTGCGGCATCCTCCACATCCGTTCCGGCCGCGTCCTCCACCCCCTCTTCCCCCGACATGACCGCATCCTCCATCAACATGTCTGACATCCGCATCGACTCGGTCGATAGCATCGCCCATAACCTCGCAGGCGAACAACCACCAGCAAATACCGCCACCCCTGACCTCTCCACCATCCTCCACACACTCAACACCTTTCAAACCTCCGTCATCGCCTTCCTGGACGACATAAAGGCCACCATGTCGTCCATATCGGACCGCGTCACCACGGCCGCACCTCCCTCCTCCACAACGCAAACCACTCCCTCCTCCACAGCCGCCTCCAGCAACACCCCCGCCGACCTCCTCCACTCCTACCACCTCCACCACCACATCCACCAACCCTTCAACCTCCACCATCGTTTCGTTCCCCCCACCTCCTCCCTCATCCGGCGCATCCAGCACACGGCCTCATTCCTCGCCCATCCACGTCACCCCTCTTCCCCCCCCGCACTCCCATACCTTTCCCCAACCCATCATGACGACCTCCACCATCCCCACCATCCGTCCCACTTATTCCCAAATCACCTCCGGGGTTTACCCCGCAATGCCACAACTCCCCCCCAGCTACCTCCTTGAGGACAACAAGCAACTCGACTACACCTGCTACGACACCACCCCCGATAACCTCAACTTCAACACCCTCACCCAGATTGTTTCCCACGACGGGGAAATCCCCCATTCCTTCCGATCCGGCGAAATCATGTCCTTCTGCGGCCTCCCCGACGAGGACGTTCTCCTCTTCCTAACCCAGCTCCATAACTCTTTTCACCTCCACGACATGCCCCTTGCCCACTGGCTCCCCCTTGCCACCTCTCGCCTCCTCGGCAATGCCGCCAATTGTGGATGGTTGAAGTCAGCAACCGCCGAGCCTCCGGAGGACCACGTCACTCCTTCCTCCAATGGGCCTCACTGCCACCTTTCGCCCTCAGAAAACCATTGATGACTACCATGAACAATTCTGCCACCTCCGCCAGACCGGTCCCACGGATCGCTTCGTCCAATATGTTCGCTCCCTCTGCCACCACCTCCCCCCCACCGTCATTCCCGACTTTGCGTTCATCTCCCGCATCAAACGAGTATGCCACAAAGACCTTGCAACCGCTCTCGCCCACGAACCTGACATGCCCCTTGCCAACCTCCTCTCTCGCATGCTTCACCACGATCGACGACTCCACCCCCATCAGAGCCATCACCAATCTGCGCCCACTCCCTCCCGGCCCCGCTTTTTTCATAACGACACCACCCCACCCACCTTCGATGACGACTTCGACACTGCCTCTCTTGACCCCTCCCAATTCACAATTGAGGACCTCCAAACCGCCCACCTTATGCGTACGGAACGCCAGGATCGTGCCTCCCGACCGCCTTCTACCTCTCCACCCTGTCGTTTCCAAAAACTCACACCCGCAGAACACATATACCTCCAGGAACACAACGGGTGTTTTCGCTGCCGCCAGTTAGGTCATCAACAGACCCACTGCCCCAACGCTAGCCGCTTTACTCGACCGGCCCCTCGCTCCACGGGACCCGACCCTTTTACTCCCACTTCTTCCTCCACCACGACAGTCGGACCCTCCCCCACCTGAAGAATGTCCCCCTGTGTCTTGCAATCCTCCACAGGCATCGACCACTTGTCTGGCGGCTCTCCCATCGGTGACGATCTCTCCTCCACCGGTGGCTCACTTAGCATCGACTATCTGTCTGCCTACCCCCCCTCCGGTGACACATCCCATCGGACGACCCCCGGGCGACGCAGTCTACTCCACCCGGCGCCTGCCCCCCTTCCAGCGACGTCTGCTATCCCATCGGTCGAGCATCCCACTGGCACCTGCCCTTCTACTCTCAACCCTAAACCCCTGTATAAACCCTGCTACAACCTCGCAACCCCGCTCTACACGCACCCTTGAACCCAGTCCACCCTCCCCTTGACCCTGATTCCTGATGTCTGATCTGCCCTTGCCCTCGCCTAGCCTTGTCCCGTCTGTCCTCTCCACTACCTTGTCTCTCTTGTCCAATGCTTGTGAACCTCCCCTTGACCCTGATTCCTGATGTTTGATCTGCACTTGCCCTCGCCT